CTGTTCAGGCAATTACTGATAATGTCACAAGTGATGAATATCAAAACTCTTTCCAGGAATGGCAAAGGCGGCTGAAACTTTGCATAGACGTTAATGGAGAGTACTTTGAAGGAATGTAATAGTTTTTTAAAAAAATCAAAATGTAATTTAGTTAAATAAAAATCGATTCTCAACTTTTCAGACACCCACGTATTTTAAAAAACTGATTTGTTACACGAATCGGATTTTCTATTTTATATATGTAATAATATTTCTTTCCGTGTAAATAATAATGGAAGGAGATGAAGGTGAACAAGTTGCTCCAAATTTTAATAAAGAAGGATGGTATACTGATGCTTTAGGTAAGTAAGTTAATATCAACCATTCTACATATGTATACATTGTTCATTTACACACATGGCAAATTTTTTTATTAAGATTATTGGTCTTCAACACCGGCAACTATTAATGGTATGTTGGGAGGATTTGGAGTAGTTTCACAGTTAGAAACCAATTCATCTATCGAATTTATTAAAGAGTTTATTGAAGGAAGAAAAGGAGCACGTAATGTAATAAAAGTTCCACCATATATAACAAAATCATATGCATTAGATTGTGGTGCAGGGATTGGCAGAGTTACAAAGCATTTTTTGTTAAAAGTATTTGAAAAAGTAGATTTGGTAGAATATACACCAAAGTTTATTAAACAAGCCGAATCACAATATCTGCTTAATGAGAAAAAATCAGGCAAAATAGGTAAATTTATATGTAAAGGATTACAGGAGTTTACACCAGAAACAAAAAAATATGATATGATTTGGTGTCAATGGGTTCTGTCGCATTTAACTGATGAAGATCTAATTCAATTTTTTAAAAGATGTAAAATTGGATTAAAAAATAATAATGGTATTATTGGTATTAAAGAAAATATTAATGCAATTGGTTATTGTTTAGATAAAGATGATAGTAGTGTCACCAGGTAATAATAAATCTGAAAGAGAATGAGAACGAGAATTTGATGGAGAAGATAATGCTAATTGATTGATCTGTTTGCTCAAGTAATAAAAAAAAATTATTTTCTTTTATACATTGTATTTTAGATCTGATAAAATATTTAAAGAAATTTTTGAAAAATCTGGATTAAAATTAATTAAAGAAGCAGTTCAATTTGGAATGCCTGAAGGTTTATTTGAAGTAAAAATGTAAATATCATTTATTTATATTTTTTTTTATCGTAATTGAATTTTATATGATTGGTTATTTATTAAATTTATTATCTAAAGGTATGCCTTGAAACCAGTTAATCATGGTGATGATGATGAATGATGAAACAATTTAGATTTTTAGAGTTTTAGTCTTTAATAAATAAAATTACTTTTTCTTTTGCTTTTCAAACAATAAACTAGAAATAATTTAATAATAGGCTAGGTTTTTAATTTGGTATATAAGTGGGAATTTAATTTTAAATCTTTTAGAATAACGTATAGAATAAATTATTTTTATCATTCAAGTTTACAAAAAATATATATATGCAAAAAATCTTAGATAGAAATAATGAAACTCGTAATTAAAAAAACCATTATCTCTACGGTTTTTTTTTTATGATTAATATTAGATTAAAAGGCCTAGGCCCTTCTTGTTGGTTTATTAGAATGTTTAAAGAATCATCATCAGTAACAACAGCTTGATCTTGAACTTAATTTTTTGGTGAATGGATTCTTGAAATATTAACTGATAAAATATATCTTGATGTGATTAATTATTTATAATTCAAATAAATACCTGCGTCTTCAAGCATTTATTTGAATGTTCTTTTTTTCTTCTTTCTTCAATATCATTGATAATCATCAAAAACTTATTACTTTATTGGTAAAATATTAACAATTATCTGAACAATATAGAGAGGATAATAAGTCAATTATTCTAATCATGATATATATTATTTTAGATGGATTTTTTAAGTCAATAATTTGGAAGCTTGCATAACACCAGCCTCAATTTGTTGTCGCATCTAATTCTGGCCCAAAGAATTAGATAAGATTAAAGGAAACAACATCCCAAATTTAGGCGAAACAGAAAAATTTTAATTAATAAATATAGATCGATGACTCTTATATATGATTTATTGTTAGAACATCTACCAACTTCATACATCAAAATCACTTTTGCCAGATTTCGATAATTACCCTGCCCTACCTCTTCCACCCCTTCCATTTCTTCTCCCCCCTCTTGATCCTC